CTAGATTAGTCAAATTTTTTCATCTAAAAAGAAAATTTTAAAAGTGGGTATGAAATTATAATTTAAAAGCTCAAAATAAATATCATACTAGGGCCTAGTTTGGAAAGACTAAATAAGTGCACTTTTTGACTTTTTTTGTATTAATAATTTAAAAGCTCAAAATAAATATCATACTAAAATAAACAAGGAAAAATGTGTTTGGAAAATTTCTTTAAACACAACTTAATATTTTAAGATAATAAAAATAAAATAAAAAATTAATATTTTGAGGCGGAGAAAATGGTGGAGACGAGGGGATGAGAAATTTCACTTGCATTCACCTCGGATACCTTTAATTAAAAAAAAAAAAAATATTTTTCGCTTAAAAAACGCTGACTACTGCCATTTTTCCAATTCAGCTGGATTGTTTGTCCCCCCATCCTCATTCCCCACACCTCCCAATGCAGTCTCTCTCACACTTTGCTTTCGCTTTTTACAGTTGTTACAACTCAACACTGTCCAGCCTGTCGTTATTCCCCTAATTGCCCTTTTCCATTTGGGATACACTATAGCCTACGTTGAAGGACATTTTGGTCAATTAAAAGTAACCAACCGGTCCAAGAAGTTCGAACAACTGTACCGAAGAAGCTGTTATAATTTTTTTGTTTTTTGGCAAAGGAAAAGAAATGTAAACAACTCCCCATTCCACACACACATTACAGAGATGTTGTCATGTGGCTAAACCACTTGCATATGCATATGCATATGATAGCGTTGGTCTTGGCGGTGTTTGGCAACTTGCTTTTAGGTTTTTTTTTAAAAAAAATTTCACTACAAAACAAATATATTACAAAATTAAAAACAATCAATTCAAATAAAATATCAAATCAAACCCTAAAATCATTTCACTTTTTCTCTTACAAACATAATATCCACCCACAAAAAAACTCAACTATTTTCCAAACACAAAAAAACTTCTCCAATAATATTTAACGATTAAAAAAACCTAACTTTCCAAAACCCACCTTGATGCATTGACTATGCTTTGAAAATTGATTATTTTAATTAATTTTTTATAAAAATATGTGTAAAAATTAAAAAGAGTTAATTGATAATTTATGATGATTTCTCTATTTTTTTATTATATATTTTTTATAATAAATTAATAAATAAAAAAATTACTTCTAAAAATAAACCTTTTGTGATTGTCATTGTATAAGATTACTCCAATGATTACTTAAATTTGTCATCAAATTTGAATTTAGTAAAAAATGGCTCATTTTTCTATTCCAATGGTTTCATTAAATAGGTATCAAATTTAGAATTTTACTTTTTTTTCATCAAACTGCATATCAATATGACTTTCATCAAATCACTGTTTATAATCATTTGATTTTTAGTACCAAATGACCTCCCGAATGACCACCTCAAGGTAAAATTTGTGAGAAGATTATACTTACCAGTCGATCCTTTGGTCATATGCCCAATTGACCCTCAGATGACCGCCTCAAGGTAAAAATTTATGAAAATTTTATATTAACCGGTTGATTGACCGAACATCTACCAAAGTCGTCCGCCCGGTCAATCAATATTTTGATAAACCTTCAAAAATCCTCTCTTAGGCACTTAATATTAAATGAAATTTGTCTTCAAATTTAATAAAAAATTTGATAAATTGTTAAAAATGCTCTAAAATGATTTAATAACTAACGTAAAATCGTTTTATAAAAGAAAAGTAAAGTCATGTTGGTGTCTTGAAACCTTAACTTCTCTATGTGCCAAGAGGGTTAGAGAAGAGGGTACAATTCGAATTTGACACCTTAAGTTTGATGAAAAACACACTTACCACTTGAGTGGCACATAAGACTTAATTTTTTTTTGTTCATTTTTAGGCCCCGTTTGTTTTCAGAGGTAAAATGGAAAGGATTGATAGTGAGGGGATTAAGCAAAATTGTGTTTGTTTTGATGATAGTTGTTAATGTAGGAATTGTTAAATTATTTTTATATAAAATAATAAAACAAATAAAAAAAATATAAAAAAATTAAACATTAATGTTCAAAAAAAAAATGCCATACATGTAAAAAATAAAATAAAAAATAAATAAAAATAAAAAATTTTTAGTCCGCCGGACTATTTTTCTAATATCAAGTCCTGAAGACCTATCCGAATTCCATCTGCAAGGCCTATCTTAAGCCTTTCGACTTAGCAGTCTCTTCCTCAACTCTGTAAACAAACAATACATTAAGGCCATGTTTGTTTGGCCGGACTGGATTAGCATTCGCATGACTAATAGTTCTAGGATTACGAATCCGTTGGATTATGTATCTTATCTTAACTAATAGTCAAGTTTAAAATAATTAGTCCGTACTTTAATTGTTTAACCAAATATCAGATTAAGAATTTTATTAGACTATTAATCAAATCCCAAACTCATATCCACCCAAACAAATATGACCTAAATAGAATCCACAACTATCCTAATCTCAATCTCTCTCTCATACCAAAAACAAACGGGCCTAAAAGTTTTGGATCACAGCAACTACTTTTTATCTCTTTCTTTCTCAGCACCTTCACACTCCTCACACGTTAAACAAAATATTCGGAGGAGACCTATATAAATACCCACCTCTACACACACCTCCATTCAAACCAACTCATCTACTCTTCTCTTTCTTCTGTCTTCCATTGCCACAAAACCATTTTCTAATCTCTCTACATCACAAAAAATGTCTTCCCTCATCCCACAACTCCTCCTTCTAATCTCTCTCTTTCAAATCTCTCTAGCAGCTAGAAAACTCACTGAGTTAGTCCAAAACCAACCCAGTACCCTCCTGGAATACCACAATGGTCCTCTTCTTTCCGGCAAAATCCCAATCAATCTCATCTGGTACGGCAATTTCAAGCCTTCCCAGAGAGCCATAGTATCTGATTTCATCACCTCCCTCTCCTCTTCCCCATCTCGGAACAACCCCTCCGTCGCAGCCTGGTGGAGCACCACCGCCCAGTACTACCACCTCGCCGCCGCCAAATCCAAAAAACCCCCCTCCCTTTCACTCTCTCTGGGCAACCAAATTCTCGACGAGAGCTACTCTCTCGGAAAGTCGCTCACTCAGACACAGATCGAACAGTTGGCGTCAAAGGGCGGTCAGAAGAACGCCGTTAACGTTGTTTTGACGTCCTCTGACGTCACCGTTGACGGGTTTTGTATGAGTCGGTGTGGGACTCACGGGTCATTGAAGTCGAGTGAGCAAGTTAAGGGAAAGAATTACGAGTTCGCCTTTATCTGGGTTGGCAACTCGGAAACTCAGTGCCCGGGTCAATGCGCTTGGCCGTTCCACCAACCCATGTACGGACCACAGACCCCAACATAGGTCGCACCCAACAACGATGTGGGTCTAGACGGGATGGTCACCAACCTGGCTAGCCTATTGGCTGGGACCGCCACGAACCCATTTGGAAATGGCTACTACCAAGGGCCTGCCGATGCACCTCTGGAGGCTGCATCGGCTTGCCCTGGGGTCTATGCTAAGGGGGCTTATTCAGGGTACCCAGGGGACTTGTTGGTTGATGCTTCCACTGGTGCAAGCTACAATGCGCTTGGTGATAATGGGAGGAAGTACTTGCTTCCTGCTTTGTATGATCCTGCTTCCTCGTCTTGTTCCACTTTGGTCTGAAAAAACATGGGATTGATTAGAAATAGGGGTGGTGTGTATACACGAGATTGCCAAGGCTATATAGAAAAATAGTGTACTGATTCATTCATTCGTTCGTTCGTTTATTTGTATTTTTTGGTTATGAGAAGCTAAATGATATAACAGCAAATTACTTTGATTTGCTTTTTCATAAGATTTTGTCTGTTTGTCCATTGCCATCTTTGTTTTTTGTTTGGTTCTTTGAATCTTCATTTTTTGTGGTTTGATGAATTCTCGCAACCACAGGGCTGATGAACTGATTCAATGTGCACTCCAACAACTTGGGTCTTGAATGATAAAATTTTTTGTCATGAGGAATTAATTTCATCGCTATAAATATTTATAAGGAAATATTTTTTTTCATTCATTTCGTCATTTCGTCATTTGAATGTTTGTGACTAAAAATCACCGTGCTGAAAAATAATTTCCGTGCCGAAAAATAATTTCGTTACTAATAAAATTATTTTAGTGATAAAAAATTTGTGAGAAGATTATACTTACCAGTCCATCCTTTGGTCATATGCCCAATTGACCCTCAGATGACCGCCTCAAGGTAAAAATTTATGAAAATTTTATATTAACCGGTTGATTGACCGAACATCTACCAAAGTCGTCCGCCCGGTCAATCAATATTTTGATAAACCTTCAAAAATCCTCTCTTAGGCACTTAATATTAAATGAAATTTGTCTTCAAATTTAATAAAAAATTTGATAAATTGTTAAAAATGCTCTAAAATGATTTAATAACTAACGTAAAATCGTTTTATAAAAGAAAAGTAAATTATAAATATATTTTTTGAGATTTGAATAAAATACGAATTGCTCATTGTGGTTTTGAAAATTACATTTCACCATCTGAAGTATAATTCATCAAGTTAATTAAATTTTTTTAATAATATTAAAAATATATTTCAATTAATAATTTAGTTAATTTTATAATTATATAGAAGAGCAATTATAAATTTTATTTTTTTATATTAATTCTGTTAAATAAAATTTTTTAATAAAAATATATTTATAATTTTTTAAATCAGACAAATTATATTTAAAAAAAAAACCTCATAAGTCCATTTGTAATTTAAAAAAATAAATAAAAAAATAAATTTGAAGTGCAGATATCCTTTTGAAAAGACGCGTCATGGAGGGTGCCGTTGGGTTTCTCTCGCTCTCTATCTATCCTCTGTTGCTAGCTAAGCAAGGAGTATTAAAGTTTTGGATCACAGCAACTACTTTTTATCTCTTTCTTTCTCAGCACCTTCACACTCCTACTCACACGTTAAACAAAATATTCAGAGGAGGCCTATATAAATACCCACCTCTACACACACCTCCATTCAAACCAACTCATCTACTCTTCTCTTTCTTCTCTCTTCCATTACCACAAAACCATTTTCTAATCTCTCTACATCACAAAAATGTCTTCTCTCATCCCACAACTCCTCCTTCTAATCTCTCTCTTCCAAATCTCTCTAGCAGCTAGAAAACTCACTGAGTTAGTCCAAAACCAACCCAGTACCCTCCTGGAATACCACAATGGTCCTCTTCTTTCCGGCAAAATCCCAATCAATCTCATCTGGTACGGCAATTTCAAGCCTTCCCAGAGAGCCATAGTATCTGATTTCATCACCTCCCTCTCCTCTTCCCCATCTCAGAGCAACCCCTCGGTCGCAGCCTGGTGGAGCACCACCGCCAAGTACTACCACCTCGCCGCCGCCAAATCCAAAAAACCCTCCTCCCTTTCACTCTCTCTGGGCAACCAAATTCTCGACGAGAGCTACTCTCTCGGAAAGTCGCTCACTCAGACACAGATCGAACAATTGGCGTCAAAGGGCGATCAGAAGAACGCCGTTAACGTTGTTTTGACGTCCTCGGACGTCACCGTTGACGGGTTTTGTATGAGTCGGTGTGGGACTCACGGGTCATTGAAGTCGAGTGAGCAAGTTAAGGGAAAGAATTACAAGTTCGCCTTTATCTGGGTTGGCAACTCGGAAACTCAGTGCCCGGGTCAATGCGCTTGGCCGTTCCACCAACCCATGTACGGACCACAGACCCCACCATTGGTCGCACCCAACAACGATGTGGGTCTAGACGGGATGGTCACCAACCTGGCTAGCCTATTGGCTGGGACCGCCACGAACCCATTTGGAAATGGCTACTACCAAGGGCCTGCCGATGCACCTCTGGAGGCTGCATCGGCTTGCCCTGGGGTCTATGCTAAGGGGGCTTATTCAGGGTACCCAGGGGACTTGTTGGTTGATGCTTCCACTGGTGCTAGCTACAATGCGCTTGGTGATAATGGGAGGAAGTACTTGCTTCCTGCTTTGTATGATCCTGCTACCTCGTCTTGTTCCACTTTGGTCTGAAAAAACATGGGATTGATTAAAAATAGGGGTGGTGTGTATATAGGAGATTGCCAAGGCTATATAGAAAAATAGTGTACTGATTCATTCATTCGTTCGTTTATTTGTTTGTTTTGGTTGCGAGAAGTTAGATGATATAACAGCAAATTACTTTGATTTGCTTTTTCATAAGATTTTGTCTGTTTGTGTATTGCCATTTTTGTTTTTTGTTTGGTTCTTTGAATTTTCATTTTTTGTGGTTTGATGAATTCTCGCAACTACCGGGCTGATGAACTGATCCAATGTGCACTGCAATCACTTGAGTCTTGAATGATGAAATTTTTTGTATTGATAATTCTGACGAAATATTTTCCTCACCCATGTTGTCATTGAATATTTGTCACTAGAAAGTGCACATTTGGCTAACATTTTGGGACTTAAAAAAAAAAAAAAAAAAAAAAAAAAAAGTACAAAAAGACAAAATAAATTATATAAGTCAATAAGATAAAATATAACTTTTTATTCATAATCATTATATTTTTTTTTACAAAAGGCAAAAAAGTCCCAAAATAAAAAGGGCAAATTACATATACCCCTCGAGATTTGGCTAAATTATAAATACCCCTGAAGTTTGAGAAATTACAAATTTCTCCCTGAATGCTATATTTGCATAACAAATTAGGGGTAATTTGTTATGAAATTTAAACATCAGGGGGCAAATTGTTATGAAAATACAAACCTCAGGGGGCGGGATGTAATTTCTAAAACCTCAAGGGGTATCTGTAATTTAGCCAAACCTCAAGAGAGGTATATGTAATTTGCCCAAATAAAAACCAAACAAAGGCTAAAAAAACCAAATTAAAAAGGTTCTAAGTTAAAAACGTTGGCTATATTAGCCACTGTCAAACGACCCCTAAAATCCACCGTAATGAAAAATAAATTCATTATAAATGAAATTATTTCGGTGACAATTTTTTTATCACCATTAAAGCAACATTTTGCCCCTAAATTTTTTTATTTTCGTCACCAAATAGTTATTCAGTATCATATTTATAACTTCAATTAACGAATAAATGTGCTACGCATGTTGATCATTGATGAGGAAATAATTTCGTCACAGTAAGATATAAAGTTAATGAGATTTTTCGTCTTCAAAAATCATACATGAGTGACCAAATATATTTCATCACAAACATAACCAAATTTTTAGTCACCAACCAACAAAATCAATGAAAATTTTCACATATAAACTGTAATAAATTTTGTCACAAAAAATGTTTATTAACGACGAACAATCACTTTGTCATAATAACAAGTATAAATGACGAAACAAATTCGTCACTAAACTTGTTTCATATTTTATATTTCAATTTAAATTATTATTTCACACAAATATCCCTGCTCATTTTCCAATAGCCTTTTAAATGTACTAAGAAATCTACTAGCTGTTATACACCACTCCACAAAAAAATTCACTAAACAATTTATATTATCAATCAAAATATATCCATCAAACAAATTTAATAATAATCCATTAAGTATAACAAAAAACTAAAGCAAATCTCAAAATAAACTAACGTGGAGTCCACAAAAACAATCAACACTCGATCTTAATTGGCAACCAAAAAAAAAAAATGGTGATTGCAAATACCACCAAGATCTTCGATTTTAAAATTACTCACTTCTATTCTGCAATTTGTACAAATGCTTAAGAGATTGTATGACTGAAATATGGAACATCCCATTGCCAATTCACTGAGATCTCAAAAATGGATCTATATAAAGGAAGAGAAATTTTATTTATCACCGGATGTTTTTTATCCATTTATTATAGGAGTACTTTCTTTGTGTATTAATGGCCAATTTTCGCAATACTGTTGAGAGTTCATTTTTATTAAAACGTTATTAGTAGTGCGTTTTTTTATTAAAATAAAAAATGAACTTTTAACTTTTTTTAACTTATTTTACGAAGGCAAATGTAATAGTAGAGATAATATCATGCATATATGCCAAGTTAGTTGACAATGTAATAGTAGAGATAATATCATGCATATATGCCAAGTTAGTTGACCTTAATTAACAAAATTGTGAACTCATCGCACTATGTAACCACGAAGGAGGTAAAATTTTTTGATGAAATATTTAGTTCATATATACACTATTACAAAAAATAGTTATGTTTGGATTGAGTGATTTGGAGAGAAAAGAAAAGAAATGGAGAGATATGTATTTCTCCTACTTGTTTGGATAACTTAAGTGGAGAGAAATGAAAGAAATTGAGAGAAATAGAGAGAAACTCATTTCTCTTACAAGCCTCATTTTCAATCTTCTCAAAAGTGGAGAGATTGAGAGAGAAAAGAAACCACTATTTTCATAATACCAATTTTGTCCCTATAAAAATAAAAGAAATAAAATGATTGAAAATATAAAAAGGTTACTTTGGTAATAAAACATAAAATAATTTCTTTTCTTTTCTCTTAATGAAATCTAACCAAACAAAAATGAGAGAAATCACAATCATTTCTTTTCTTTATTTCTTCCTTATCCAAACAAAAAGGAGAGAAATCACAATCATTTCTTTTCTTTTCTTTTCTCTTATAAATTAAATAATCATTTCTTTTCTTTTCTCTCCTAAGTTCCCAAACATAGTTAAAGATCACACTTTGACAAAAGAAAATATCTCACTTTTATTGAAAGTGTGATAAAAAAAATTAGATTGATATTTTAATCACACTTAATTTGATTGAGTGTGATAATATTTATTTTTTATGTCACTTTTCAATTAAGTGTGATTATATATACATTTTTTTAATCACACCTTCTAATTAAAGTGTGATTACATATATACTATTACTTTTTAATCACACTTTTTATATAAGTGTGATTATATGTATATTTTTAATCACACATTCTAATTAAAGTGTGATTATTTTTATATTTTTAATCACACCGTCTAATTAAAGTGTGATTATATATACACTACTACTTTTTAATCACACTTTTTAAATGAGTGTGATTAGATCACACTTTAACAAATGAAAATATCTCACTTTTATTAGAAATGTGATAAAAAAAAATTAGATTGATATTTTAATCACACTTGATTTGATTAAGTGTGATACTATTTATTTTTTATGTCACTTTTCAATTAAGTGTGATTGTATTTATATTTTTTAATCACACCTTCTAATTAACATGTGATTAAAGATCACATAAAAAGAATTAAAAATATCTCACTTTTATTAGAAATGTGATTAAAAAAATTAAAATAATTTTTTAATCACACTTAATTTAATGAGTGAAATAATATTTTTTTTTAATCATACATTTGAAATAAGTGTGATTATATATATTTATTTTCATCATAGTTTCAGGTGTGGTTATATATAATTTTTCAATTTAATTTTTATATTAAATAATTATTCTCATATTGTATATAAGCTCATGAAATTACTTTGGTGGAGAGAGAAAGAGCTGGGCAATTTCTTTCTAGGGTTTCTTGCGGCTCTCCATCTCGCCTCTACCGCCGATGGCCACTGATCAACGCGCCTCTCCATCTCCCCTCTTGCTCCTCCTCCTTTCCTTGCTGATCAGTGCCGCCGCTGCTCTTGCTAGTCGCCGCCATTGGCCTTTCCGGCGCTGATTCTCCTCTCACCGTTGTTGTTTCTCTCTCTCTAGTTTATGTTTTCTCTTTCACTGTAAGTTCTTCAATTCCTTCCCCAACCCCATGAACTTTTGATATGCTAGTTGACCTTAACCACGTGCACTGCACTCTTTGTAACCAATGAACCATTCAGTTTTCACAAATACTCTACTCTCTCTCTTTCCATCCTTCCCCAAGTATTTATTCCCTTCAATTTTCTTCATATTTATTTGCTTTAGATTGCTTGAGATTTGTTTAAATTTCCAAATTTTTTTTTTAAAAAAAATTGCTTCATTGTTTCTGTTAATTGCTTTAGATTTGTTGATTTATAGCATAATTTATGTTGAAATTTCTATTCAAAATTGGTGAAACAATTTCTGTTTTTTAAAAAATAATTATTTTAAACAATCTGTTTCTGTAAACAAATTGTTGAAGGAGATTGAAAGAAGACCAATCTTACACTGCTTAGCTTGTAATTCTGTATTTATTGGTGAAACTCTGTATGGCAGATGAGCATAATATGGTATCACCCAACACATTTCTACCATTCTTTAAACAAAATAAAATAAAAAAATAATGATATTAGGCATTTATAATAAGATCACAAACTGTGAGGGAAATGGATAAGTTTGCACATGTTAACTTCTTATGAGCAACCAATAACTTTGGTCATGCCTGGATTTTCTGTGGTAGCCCATCTGTGTTGCTAATTCAACATGCCTCTTAACATATTTTAATTTGATGTTAATTATATTATAAGCCAACCAAGAAATTGCATAATTAAACTATAATTTTTATGATAATAATTTTGTGAAATTGCATATTATAAGCCAACCAACGCACAACACTTCGTTATGATTAGCTTGCTTTCTTTTCATTGTCAGGTGAAAATAATGATTCCCTGCATAGTTCTTGCTGGCCCTATTGGTCTTGGTTTTGGATATATGAGGCAAGTACTATATGCTGTAATTGCATTTTGATTTGTTAATAATTTTGGCGATTATGCAATTCTTGTGCAAAGATCTAATAACCAAGTTTAATCCTTACTCTCAGTGCAGAAGGAAATAACATCCTTCCCTTTGTTAGCCTTGTTTTCTCTAGCATGCTCATTATTGCTGGTGTGAGTTATCCTCCAACATTTTTGGCTACTCACTATTTTACCTTCCAAATTCTTATTTTAAATCTGAAAAATGATCTTAGTAGATAGAGAATCGTGTTGTGTTAACACTAAAAAATGTGAATGTAACTACTATTTAATCATTATTACAGTGCTTTACATATGCTTTTGCAAGGCAATTAAATGCTTTCCAGACTGGTGATATGTTATTTGGCATGTAAGAGACTCTGTTTAAATGCTGTATATAGTTGCAAACTATGTTCATGTTAATGTTTACTGCTTTATTTAGGTGGAATTCTTATATCTTGTGGAACTTCGCTTGGTGTTTTTCTACAGTGGGTTATCCAGGTTCTTTTCATTATCTTCTTTCTGTTATGGTGTTACATTATTCTTGTTCTGTATTGTGAATGGACATGTCATGTGTGCTTTCAGGTCATAGTGCTTTGGAGAAGAGACTATAGTATGATTCCATTATCATGGATGAGCATTTTAAAGGACAAAGATGTGCATGTGGTTACTTTCTAACACCTTCTAGATATTAGGCATTTATATTATTGTGAAGTTGATAGCATGCTTATTAAATCCAGTGGTGATTACTGAACATACTCTGGATTCTGATTATTGTCTCCAACATCATCTTCTTTTCTTTTGTTCAGTTCTTCTCCCTGCTGCTACTCGCAACAATCAATCTGGCCTTTGTACACATTGCCTCTTTTACTGATCTTTGTTTTTCATCTCTTATTCTTGGTGCTATTGCTGGTCTCTCATGTAAGTAATTGTTGCTAGCTACTTTTACTGGTGCAAGTGTCATTTTGGACTTTAGTTTGTAAGTTAGCTTTAGACATACTTCTATTGTGTCCGCTACTTTTGATTTTGGTGTAATGTTGTAATTTTTTTTTTTTTCAATGTGACATTTTCTGAATTAAACAGAAAAAAGAGCAAGATATAATACACGATTCATATACAATTTGACAACTATTCCTTAGTAATTCTCATATAATTTGATGCAAAGCTGAAAGGATATGTAGTGCATATGAATTATTTTTTTGGGAGAATGGTAACACAGACAGGTGTATAGAATAGAAGTATGGAGCACATCATCATTCTGTTCTAATGAACTTTATACATTGAAACTTATATTACATTGTGCATTATTATCTGAGTGTATGGTTCAGATTTTGCACCAATATTATGTATACCAATTGGAACCTCGATTGTCCAATGTGCTGAGATGGAACTTGTTCTTCATTGTTGCTGTGTGTTCTTTCTGAATCAAATATTTAGTATGGTATGATGTCACAGTAGATATACTTACGATATCTTCCTAAAAAAGTGATAAAGTATGATCCATGTGTATGACTATCCTTCATAGCAATCTTTAGGGTAAATTACAACGACACCCCCTCTATTTGTTTGAAATCACACTATCACCCCCCTTGTTCCTTGAAATCAACACAAGTCAAATCTATTTAGTTAAAATGTCAAATGACTTTTATACCCTCATATGCCTTGGTAAACATTTCACCTAATCTATCCATAAATACGACCATGTTTGTTTTCTTTCTTTTTTCAGAAAAAAAAAATTCAATTTTTTTTTTGAAAAAGTAGAAACTAATTTAATAAAAATAAATATCAAAATATATTAAAAAAATTATTTATGGCCTCCCAAACATAAAATTATATAAAAATGGTCAGTCTTTGTGTTGACATTAATGTTTCAAAAATGGATGTTCAAAAACTTTATTGATGTTAATTTATTCAGTGTTGATCTCATGTTCTTTAATGGTTTTGTCTGAAACAGACAGGGAATCTGCTGCGCATTGCCATTTTTAACATTAGCTACATAAGAGGCCTTTTTCCTGAGAAATATTTCCATGATAAGTCTGTTCCTGCCTTAAGGTGAGTTTGTCATCATCAGATTTACTTCAAGTTTTCTATGAAATTTAAGTTCTCATTGGTGAATATATTTGAACAATCATGAAATTATGAACAGAGATGAAGATCAAGAAGCTTACACCAATGGATGCAAAGTTTTGCAGACTAATTGATTGGATGGAGAAAGGCATGTAGATTTTGCTGATATGATACTTTTGTACACTTAAATGTTCTTACACTCTTCTTAATCTGTTTGTGTTTCTTAATTTTTGTAGGTGTTTATGATGCATTGCAGAAGAAATACCTAAGGACATTGTTGTTCTGTGTTTGTAAAGGAGTGGAAGGTTCAGTGATTGAGGAATATGCATGTAAGATTTTAAGAATAGCCCATCCCTTGGAACTATTAATGATTGCCAAGAAAATATGCAGAAGTCAATGTTAATGACTCTGCTCTATGGCAATGCCTGTGCCAATGTTTTAGTATATGTAGATTTCCTTCGATGCATTATTAGAATTAGTAAATAAATTTATATTTCTTCTGTTGCGGTTGTTTTCAGTTACTCTAATTCTGAAAGCCAAGAGGTTTCAATGAAGATCAATTGCACTGTGATTGATGATGCCACTGGTGCTAGAAAGGTTTGTACACCTTATCATTTTTATATAATTTCTCTTTCATGTTTCTAAGAATCTAATATATATGTTCAGCTTCTTTGCGAATGTCTACACTAGCAGTGGTAGTTGACTTATTTTCTTTTTTAGATTCTTCTGGATTTCTGACATGTCTTGATAATTTTAAGTACACTACTTTGTTGTGCAAACATTTTACCAATTATCCATGTAATACAATACTTTGTTTTCTTTCTCTCTCATGCCAGTTTTTTTTCTTGATTTTTCATAGTTTTTCTCTTTTTTCTGTCCTTCATTTATTTTCTATTCAAGCCTGACCGAAAGAAATGTCATATTTGTTTCACATTATTAAATTAGCAGACATTCACTGATGTAGATGTTGTTGAGTATGGATTAGACTGCTATAGCCACATCTGGTGCATTTGTTTTCTTAGATTTCTTGCTAACTGCTTTTTTAAGCTTATTAATTTTGAAGTTTATAATTTGGCATGTTTGGTCTAATGTACAGGTATTTAGTGATGTTGTGGTACAACTCTTCTTCTTCTTCTATTATTATTATTATTATTTTTATTATTATTATTATTATTATTATTATTATTTTAACATCTCTGATTATATTCCTCATACAGTTATAGCCTTATAACTCTTTTCTTTTTCTTTTCTTTTTTTTTTCCTTCTGCAATGATGCTAAAACATGTCTTGTTTCTCATATTTTTAGATGAATTATGAGGACTTTTGCCACACTGACTATTTCTGTACAAAACAAATAGGCCCTAAATGTCGACGCTTTTTCAGTTTGTCAAACTTCATGAAGTTCGAGAAAGGTGAGTCAGGAAGAATTGCCATCCTGCCATTTTTCCTTTATGTCATGCGTACGGTGGGTCTTGATTTTCTATGCATAACAATGTCTTGTTTTCTGTACATGTCTAACATGTGTAATTAGATATTCACCCATAAAGTGTATTAAGTAATTTGAGTTAATAAGGCCTGTTAATACCAAGGTGCCTAATTATTGTAAAAAATTATTATAGTAATTTTTTCTTTGATGAGTAACAACAGTAAAATGAGTAACACAAGTATATAGGAAAATAGAAACTTAACCACCACCACCACCACCACCACTAATAGCATAAACTTCATATCATATGCAAAAGAAAGGATTCAGAACAATAGATAAACAAAGAGTGACTGGTGTGAACTTCAACATAAAGACAACATGCAACATAGCATACAAATTTTATCGTTTTACATGTAGTTGGTGACATTAACAGCTGTCATTAAGCCACTTTGTTCTGAATTGATACCTTGTTGTCCAAGTCTTAAGACATTTGAAAGGGTGTGATCGGTCGGACTTTATCTTTTGTAAGACTAGAACAATCTCTACAAATAGTTAGTTTATTCATATGCTTCTAGCGATTTCTGAATTAATTTTTGTTTTCATTTTTCAGGTTAGAAATTCTTGGAGAGATGCAAAATATGGTCAAAGAATTCAAGAACTTAGTTTTCTAAGTTTTTTTATTTTTTAATATATGTAAGCATGGTTTAAAACTTTTTATTTAATTCATTTGTATATACTTTTGAACATATTTAATTTTCATTTATGAAATATATGACATTATTCTATTCAACATGTGGTTGTGATTCAAATTATAGTATATAATGTGTATTACATTCTTGAAATGCGCGTATAAAATAATATTGATTATTCTTCAAATATATCTATTTTTTTTTATTACAGGTTTTATTAATTATTAATCACACTTAAAAGATGTGATCTAAATATTATTAATCACACTTAAAAGGTGTGATCTAAATGTTTTTAATCACACTTAAAAGGTGTGATCTAAATATTTTTAATCACACTTTAAAGATGTGATGAAAGCATTTTTTAATGACACCTAAAAAGTATGATTAAAAATGACCCTTTTTAATCACACTCCCAAAGACCACACTTTAATAAAACTTAAAAGGTGTGATTAAAAACATACATCACACAAAAAAAGTGTGATCTTTATCTGTATTTGTAGTAGTGATAGTGGGTGTTTGGGAAGTTCCTAGTTTAGTAAGCTATTTTACTTTTTTAACTATATTTTAGGAGATTAAAATTTGTGTTTTGAAAGATAGTTGGATTTTTTTTAGTTTGCTGTGATGTGTGTGAAAGAAAAAGTGAAATGATTATGGATTTGATGTGATATTTTGTTTTATTGACTATTTTAATCTATTTTGTCTTTTAGTGTTATTTTAGCCAAAAAAACTAAAAAAGCTTCTTCCCAAACACCCCCATAACAACCCTCATAAAGCATTACTGAACTAATTCATTTCATTTATTTATTAGTTTTTTTTTTATATTTTTTTTTTGGTAAACTAGAACTAATAATAGATTAAATAGAACAATGCAAAGTTTTGAAATAACTAATTCAACGAGCATCATCATTAGCAATACATGATAGAGTAAAGTAAAAAATATGTAAGCTAAGTTTGATTTGCCAGAGTACTCATGCAGATATTCCCTTCGCGATAGATATAATTAATCACTTGGACTCCCGGCTGCTCTAACAGGAACCTACAATCATGAATTAAATTACTCAAGTGATGGTTAGCATTTTCTCTACCCATGAAAGGTTGTTTAACAAGTAAAGAGTCAATTTTCACTTTAATGTTTCTGTAACCTTTATTGTAACGCCCTCAAAATAAACCCAAAAACAGACATCCATGATACAAGAAAGAGATATCACATTTCATAAATCAAAGTATTCTTACAGAATGTATTATATGTTGACAACAAAAGTAAATGCCCTACGGGCTTACAACTTTTCAAGTCAACTCTTGGTTACAAAAAGGAGAGTACTAACTCTACACAAAATAAGCTCTTAGCTTGATATACATGTAATACAAAAAGTAATCAAAAAGGTCTCTCAGCCACTAAGCCTCCCAAGCTACGTCCTTGGAGGTGACATGTCACCTGCACCTGAAAATGATGTCCCAAATAGGGTGAGTCAACGCCCAGTAGAGATATGCTAAACATAGTATGAGCAATAACTAAAACATTAGCACTTGATAAATGTTTAACTCATATAAACCAACATACAGTACAATCCCATTTCATAATCCTTTACTTATCCAATTCTCAACTTATAAACACGGCTCAGAACCTGGCCAAACAACTTAAATGAAACTACATCTCATGCCAACAATACTTCAAACTGCCATTTTACGGAAATTGCGTTCACGGGATTCGGCACCCATATGTAATTATTTTCTTGTGGCCATTTTACGGAAATTTCATCCGCGGGACTCGGCACCCATGTATAAATATTTCGAATTGCCATTTTACGAAAATTTCGTCCGCGGGATTCGGCACCCATGTATAATTATTTTCAAATTGTCATTTTACGGAAATTTCATCCGCGGGATTCGGCACCCATGTATTCAAATACTCATCATATACAATGACCAATCAATACACATATTCGTTGTATTATTCCAACCGTCATACTCAATAACATACTTAAATTGATTAGTTTTAATTCACCTAATCATCATGCAGTGTCTACAACAGTGTCTACAACAATCAAAACTATCCTCCACCGATAGCCCAAAGCAGTTATTTCTAAACAGATAATAAATGCACCAACAGATAAATTATCAATAACTCTTAAAGGTGAGTGATTATTAAATCAAACTCCACCATTCTTTCTCATAACTTCACAATTTCACTATTTCACAATGGAAGTCATTAATTACACTAATGACCCACTAAAACCCAAATATGGCATTTTTTTTCCTTTTTTCCAATATTGACCCAAAGGTCCAAATATTATCATTAAACAACTACAACATCATTTTAGGACCCTAATACACATGTATTGGCCCAAAAGAACAAAACCCCTCTTATCATATTGAAACCCTAACACCCACAATTACCCAACTTCAACATTACATCAAAATAACAACAAGTTTATGTCAAAGACCATAAATAGGAGTAGTTATCCCTACCTCAAATTCAGAGCTCAAAGGAGGAAGATGAAGAAATTCGAAATGCTCCAAACCCCAATATTTTCAGATCAAAAGGTAGCCCTCAACAAGCTCCACACTTTTTACAAAGGCCCAAGGATAGGAGATCACTCATACTAGATCAAACCCTAGAGAGAAGTTAGAGTTTTAGAGTGAGGTGCTCTCCAATGGAGGTTTTGAAAAGTAAGAGAGAGAAAGAAAGTGTGAAAAGTGATTTAGAATCACCCAGCTGCCATCTGATATACGACTAATCCGCTCGAGCGGAGAATAGGACACTCGAGCATCAAGCACAAAAACTGAACCCGCTCGAGCGCAAAAACACCAGCTCGAGCGTCGATTACACTCTTCCAGTACTTTTACAGACGAAGAACACCCGTTCGAGCGCAAGGACCGCTCGAGCGTGAGGAAATCCACTCGAGCGTGAAAAGCACATCTGCAGCACTTTTGCAGACGAACAAACTGCTGAAGATGTGCAAACTCCGCTCGAGCGTGAAGGGATCCGCTCGAGCGGACCACCAAAAATCTGGGCAACAAGAAATGGGACTAAAGCTCAACCAACCTGTTCAAAACACGCCCAAGACATTTCTAAACTCCAATCCAAAGCATTAAAGGACGAAAATGAAATACAGACAACCACAACTATCAACGAAACCGAGTCCGGAATACAGTAAATAAGGAAGGAAAAACTGGGATCGCTATATTTATCAAGAGCCAAATTTAAGCCATCTCAAAATGCCCAGGACAATGCTTGGCTGAACCATTCATTTATTAGTTTTTAGTTTTAGAAAATGTTATTCAAAGAATTGTAATTATTAGCCTTGGTCACGTATAATGAGTTTCCCTCAAGAAAATTTACAGTGTTTCTCAAAAAAGGGCGTTTAGGCTTTGTTTGGGATAAAATAAAAAAGTCAAAAAGTTATTAAAAAATGTAAAAAAATCTATACTATTCAAGGACAGCTTGTGGGGGAAGCCACTAGGGAAAAATTATTATTTTG